GGGGGGGGGGGACGAGTGGGAAGACGTAACAAAAAAAAACATAGAATAAGTGTCCGAACAAATAACAGAATATTTACAGTGCATTGATGTACAGTAAAGAAGAACGAGGCATGTACGATTGTTTCAAAATTTTTTGAAAATTTTTTTTCCCTTTTTTCACAATTTTTGTTTTCATCCCCTCCAAGGCGCATCCTTCACTCAGGATAACATCGGGCTTTTCGTAACGGATAACGACCTAGGGATAGCGCTTTAATGTTCTTCTTTTCAAATGACAATTTCTTATGCAATTGAAGAGACAAGAAGATTTAGTCGAAATTCCATTTTTCGAAATTCGACCCGACTTATCCTTCGCGTATTAATGAATATTAATTAGTAACGTATAGATTATTACGCTCCGGCGACTCTAGGATTCTAGGCGATTCGATTCAACTGTCTGACTGTTCTTCGATGTTTTTCGATGTTCACTATTAAATAACTATACGCTGTGCTAATCGTTTACAATGGAAAGAACTTTCAGATCACTGGTACGACTATTGATTTACGTGCGTATAATAAATTCGTATATTTTAAGTATATAGTCAACGCGTTACATAATATTACCCATACGTACTCATAGATAACAACGGCAACATTGATACAGGTACACATAAGAGACCAACATATATCCTATCGTCTTTGAACGAATTAACTTCTTGTCGTATGCCCATCACGTAAATAACTGTTATTATTTTATTTGACTTCTCTTGAATTATCCATTGATCGTTAATTAAGGGGGATATCTCTTTGTCACGTTCTCGTATAGCTTTTGTCGTGCGTCCAACTGGATACATTCTGCGCGTAGCGTTAACGAACGGATGATCGGAAAAATTGTGAGGGAGCGAGCGAAAAAAAAAAATGAAAAAAGAAAAAAATACGACTAAAATATATATATATTTAGGAGACAAGAGCGATTACAGGAACCAGAATGATGTTTCTTAGATGTTGTCAGTCGATGCTAATTTCATATCTTTCCCTTTGTAGCCGTGGTGTTTCTCGATATCGATCGATAATCGATCAATCAATTCTCGAGCTTCGAAATTTAAGCTTTAGTCGTTATTTCTGTCGTACCTCGATGGCTAAATTTGGTTAGCGATTAGAATGACGATGTTTCTAGGCTCCGATTGGATGCGAATTTTCTATAGATAGGCGATCGATCGATGTTTGTATCTTTTTTTCTTTGCGCGTTAACTCCCCTCTTATCCCATACATACACACACACGCATACGCATACACAAACTTAGAACTTTTGTGAAAAACAAATTTTGTTTTTATCATTGGCATTTTAACACGGGGATAGTATAATATTCGCGTCGGACAAAAATTGCGGTTTAGTAGATAAACGTAATGACCACAACAACAAGAAACGAGATAATGGTCTCGCGTATGTTGGATTGCACTACTACAATAATAATATCAAACTGCGAGACGAGAATTAGTGCGATAGCGAATACCCTTTCTTTCTGACTGGTGTTTTATACGGCTGTAGGATTAACGGAACTCATTACCATTAAAACTACGCTATACGACTATATTGTATTTGTACCATATATAAATATATACATAATTTGTGTATTTTAACTATCGATTAATTATGACTATAGATTATTATTATTATTGCTATTATTATCATTGTCAATAACGTATGTAACGTCGCTATATTGTCATTGCGGTTGCGAGATACGAGAATTACTATGAATATTCTTATTATTATTATTATTATTGATTGTACGAATTACCTGTATATTCTATTGTTTATTTTTCATTAGTCACGTAGCGTTGCCTGTATATACGGCGGTGAGTCGAATGGCGTGGCGTTGAAAGCGTCAGTTTTCTTTTTTGGTTCCTTTGCTTCTCAAAAGAAAATCGTTGCGTATTCGGATCCCTCTTTGCTGCTTCTTTCTCGTGCAACAAAGTAAGCTTTGGATCAGGAAAAGAAGAGAGACTCGCCCGTCCTATTAAGGATCACGGCTCTTAGTTGGGCAACTCAATGGCGAAGTCTGTGCAGTAATCGAAGAGGCTGATTAGTCGGTTTATAAAAAGAAAACAGTTAAGAGGACGCTAGGACCTCCGTATCCCTGGCTCTGTTGTCCCTGTTGGTTGTTTCTTCTGCAAACAGGAAGATGCCAAGTAACGAGTAAGATGAGCCGACGAAAGAGCAATTGGCATTGTTTTCAACGCAAGCCATTCGACAAGAGCGAATGTTAACGAAGGGGGTAAAAAAAGGGGATTTTGTCTCAGAGGATACTAGAAATAGCGAATGGGAATTCTTAAGCCGTAATTATTATTTGTTACAATTAATAATCATTATACTGTCTTCTATTTGGGGTGATGACGAATTAATTGAAGTAATTTAACAGCGACTTTTATTTAGGTGTTTGCGATACTTAGCCGTTACTACCGCTACCCTTCGGTTGTTCACCATTCTTATCTTACGTCTTTAGCCAATCATTGTTCAACCGAGATGATCACTGATGATCATCAATCATACTACTGTACCGTAAAATATCCGTATCATTGTATCGCGCTCTGGCATTTTTGTATATTTTTTATCATCTGTACAGTCACGCTCCTTCTTTGTTATTAGAGTGATTTCCTTCTATCGATGGAGAATCGACGTAACGTTGAACTCAATTGTGAATTATCATTGTCGTTACTCTGGCCGTACGTGTATCTTTCCATTAGCTTTTGTCAATTAACACTATTAACGATCTCACTTGTACACGAAATTCGTTAGGGATATTAGTAGTGTTGTCTTTACGGTCCTTTAGTAACTCACCTGTAGCGTGGGTACGTTATTTTGAATGATTCCTTGTCATTTTTCTTTGTACTTTTTTTTTGTTCCTTATTACTTTAAAATTTGGCTCTTTGGCTTTTTTGCCGCCGTTCTGTATCGCGGTGATACGTTTAATGAATTGTGGGAGAAACAAATGTCCCTTGCGAAATTTTGTTTGCTTTAACCGTGCGAGACTAATATTGTGGATGATGAAGATAACGATGGCAACTGAAGGGGATCTATATTATTGAATTGCGTGAATCGTTAGTGTACACCGATTTGTATAATGCGCTAGTAACGAGTAACATTGCTGCTTCTTCATAAGCGTGACTCTTTATCTAATGTTTTTTTCGTTTCTTGTTCGATTTTAAGCTTACAGGCGGTCAGCCTGTCTCAAAGTATTACGACTTAACGGTACATACATATGAAACAGAGAAAATATAAATACCACGTATACAGTATACAACACACGTTACACTCATAATGTTCTTGCTGTAATACGTTTTCCGTGTTCTGTCGTGCAACAAATTATTTCTGAGGTCGAGCAAAGTACAAAGAGAGTAGATTTAGTTTGATGTCAGAAATAGTCTGGGCACAATTGACGTTCTGATCGTTCCCACGTGTCGTCAATGTTATATGCTAATTTTCGATAAAATTGAACTTGACAGAGAAAGGCGATGTTGACGAATGCAATAGAATTTGGCTCAAGCTTAATTTATGTAATGACGATCGATGCACGTATTGAGGGAACGCGCTAAATAGAAACAGGAAATTAAATGTAAAAGCTTAACAAGTGAAAACAATGACTTTAGCAATGCATTTGTCCTGTCGATCTTCTCGATCGATCGCAACGAGACTTTCTGTAAAATCTAGGCTACCAAAATTCTCTGTGTAAAGCGATTGACAGATTCTGGTACTTTGCTGATGGTCAGACGTTCCACGCAAGTCCAAGTTCAATAAGAAAGTTGATGGGACTTGTGTTAAAAAAAGAAATGGAATGCACCGTTTCACCATTCATCTTGGTACCATGTAGCGTCAAGACTCTTTTATGGGCTCTTATTAATTGGTGACAACTTATACTTAATGTGGTTTAAATTTAATTCACATGATATCGGGGGATGATATTTTGAAAAATCCAATTGACATTTATATTTTAATACATGGGCTGATTATATTTAGTGTACTTGTAATTAATTCGCCGCGCGACACGCAGACGCCGCTATCTGTTTGACCTCCCTTGATTTAGCGTTGTGAGAAGAGAAGGAAAAATGGAAAAATTTATATTTTCAAACTTCATTCGATTGGCGTGTCGCAGGATAAAACGATAGTGGCGGCCGCGCGACGCCGGCAAGAACATGGTTTTCTGTATATTACTGTAGTATAATCAAATACTAAAGACTAATGCTTAAGGTGATCAATCAAGCTTCGGGAAGTGTGATATTTTCGAAGTGGCGAGACATACATATATATTTGAGAGAAAAGATAGAAAACAAATGAGCGAGAGATAGAAGCGAGACATAACGGTGCAACGTGAAATATTGAACAAAAAGAACAAAAAACACTACCAACCGTCGACCAATCAAACAGCAACAATAACAACAACGTTATGTTAGATGATAATAAAAAATATATGCGCGAGTACCGACGTTCACCGTTGGGTTCTCGAGCATTTGAACGGTATAACGCGAATGTCTTTATTGTCATTGTTGTTTTCTTTTTTTATTTATCTTTCTCATTGTTTACCCCATTCTTATCATCTTACACCATGCAAGCCCATTATCCATTATATACACTGTCATAATCCACTATTATCCCATGTTACTACTACCACTACTATTACTACTACTATTGCTGTCTATACGTCATTTTGTCCCTTTTGGATATTTAATCAAGTGTATTATCTGAGCCCGATCGATTTCTACCCATTTATAACAATGCTGTGTATTATCCGTGCGCGTACTACTAACTTGGGTATATTGCGCATCACGCAAATTCGGTGGCTCGTGTACTGTGAGAATATTGCCATTAAAAAATCGACTGTTACGATACGTTAAAAAATTAAGTGAAATCTCTCTGTACATAAGAAGTATATATAGGATTACATTAAGGCTAACCGAAGCAGAACAAGGAAGACGAAAATATTGATGAGAAATCTAATAACGTTTTTGAGGTCACGTTACGAATTCAGTGATTTTCTTGTCCTTTTGCTTGATTTTTCTTTTGGTTACCTGTCACATCGCGGTATTAGGTCGCGCGACAATGCCTACAATCAAAAAACAAACTATAGAATTATAAATAAATTAAAATACTTGTCACGTACCAAAAAAGAGAATAATGAAAATCCAGCTTGCTTTTCTTTTTGAAATCTTATTTAAATATTCATTTTCTCACTAGGGTCAAATCAACCCAGACAACATAATATCCAAAAGTTCTCTTTAAGGACTCTAATGGCACTGAAGTTGTCTTTAAGACATCTTAAAGACGACCTCGACATATGTGTTGTCTGGAAAGGTGTTCGCCATTTTTTGTAGTCTCACCGTCTAAGAAGGTAATCGTTCCTAAATGTTCTTTGCTTTATTTTGACATATATCATTCATCGTCGACTGATCGATCGTACACCGATCCACAAAATGATAGGTGGGCCCAGTCCATTACTCGTCTTTACAAAAGAACATATCAAAAATGTATTACCCGTTTCGAAGGTTGGTACGTGGTATCTATAACGATCGTTCCTAATCCTTGAATTAGTAATCTCTTATAAGGAAGAGTTAAAGCGAATTTGCAAAGACGCTAAATTTAAATTAGTCCACTAAAGTCTACTAGTAGCAATGGAAATTCTTGCAAACCTAAGTGAACGGATTAAGAAATTCAACAATTGGGAAACGAAATTATCGTGCTAGAAGGAGTTCCTTGATTTATTTTTTTTATTTCAGACGCATAGGAGAGACACTTAAAAATAATGCTACTACGATAGTTGCCGCAAGGTAGGTAGCGAGAGTACGAGTGCGCGTGACGATTGGAAAAATTGCGAGAAAGCGTTGCGTAAGAAATCGCGTAACAACGGGACAGAGATATCTTGTGCATAAAGCGAGGCGGAATGAGAATATCGTAAGGCTAGATTTACTTTGAGATAAGAGTCATGACGGTTGCACATTTTCAAACTGATTTAAACGTTACTCGAAACTTTGAAACATAGGCTCAGCCATTGTCGAAATAAATAGAGATATATATGCGACTGAATAATCAACCTATAATTGTATATCGTATAGATGATGACGATGATGATTAAATAGAGACTTTAGCAGTTCGATTAAATTAACGTACGACGCATTGTCATGTACGTTATTATTGTACTACTACGTAACACAATTGATAAAAACCAGGGTAAACATAATTAACTATATGAGAATATATTAAATATATTGTATATATACATATACGTATATTCAGAGATATTTATATATACACACGTAATTCTCATATGTGTGTGTATATATATGTATATTTGTTTATGAAACCCTATATACGTATCTCTGTATATATACATTGAGGTATTCCTAGTGGCACAACTTTACTGTAAATAACGATTAATTAATTATTACTTCATATTATTATTATTATCATTACTACTGCTATCATTACTCTACTACTACTATTACTATTGCTATTACTATTGTTGCTACCTAACTACACTATTATCATGGAAAATGATATCCCTGCTCTATAGGTATATACTGAATGTGCAATCCTATGTACGTTCAAATATTTATATGTACAATTCATCTAGGCCGTAGAGCTTAGCGTAACGTGTATTTGGATAAGAAAGAGGAATAGACAAAAGTGGCTGCAAATCGGGCATGACAAAAAGTAAGGAAAAAATTCTATAAATGGAATTCTTGTAATTGAATGTAGTATTTCGTGGGGTTACTACTCGTGCTCTCCTGCCTATTTTGAATTTTGACTGTATGTTATATAAATCTATATATATTATATACATATGAAAATTGAAGAACAAAAAATATGAAAGAAAACACGTTGGACCAAGTCGTTGTGGGGCACTTGCCAAAAAATCTTATAATTTTTAGATGATGTTGAGCCACAAGATATAGTTTAGCCCTGGGTATAAGAATGGAGTGCGGATATATTTTGTCTTGGTACTTTGATTAAAAGGTAAGGAATACTCCGATTTCTTGCACACCGTGATAACGTCTATCTTGAATCTTTATCCGTGAAGTATAGATATTATTTTCGAGTTCTTTATTTACCTTAATGATTAACTAGGAACTTTTTGATATTTTCGAATCTTCCGGTTCTACGCTTTGTTTTTCGTGTCCGCACGCATTCGCTTACTTGGATAAATGGCTACACGATTACCATTCTTACCTGTCGTTCCAAAGAAGGACACAGCTTTTTTTTGGAGACCGTAATATGGGCTTTTGAACGTAGAACTTTCGTACTTTATACAGCTTTACAAATTTAAGTGGAAATCGGTCGTGTCCACGGTAAAGTTAGTCCTTTCGCGATTACGAATCCATTATGGCTGCCAACTCGATTTTAATAATGACTCTTTATTTTATTTTTTTTACAATACCATCGCCTCATCTTTCAATTTGTTAGTTTCGTGTTATATGTAGCGAGCGTAGAAACAGACAATAGAAATTATAAATGAAAAATGCATAGTGTAGACAGTGGGACAATTTAAAATAAGATGTGGCAGTCCGTCTTGCGTGGCTCGTGAAAGGATCCAATGGTAATCCGTAATATATTCATCGCATCTAATTAACACTGTCTATTTACTAGTAATAACGATTAAACAAATTACTATTGTTACGGTATTAATACATTGATGATAATAACATAACGATACCTACTACTACAAAATGAATGTTGCCTTTTTGTCACATTGGTTAATGGAATGAATAATATATTAATAAATTATGTACGATTGATAATTTAAATATTCTATTATATTGCGGATAATAATCAATTGTGATTATTATGTAAAAGCGTAATGGAGATTCATAATGTGGATATGTGTTGTGTTAATGTAACACGTCCCTATTCTAATGTAGGGCTGAATAAATCAACCAATCTCCAGTTTTTCCTATTCTGTCCTTAGTCGAGCTGCCTCTCCTTTGGCTAGTTTTCTTTTATTTAAGCTTATAAAGGTTTTTTGATATTCTCAATCCTCAGATTGGACAGGATCCGTTATGATTCGTAATAATTAATTGATATAAATTGTATTGTAATTTTGGTTTATTTCTTTTGTCGTTCCCTTAGACATTACTTTATAGTACAATATAAATACAATTTTTCCAAATATGGGAATTTTAGGAATGCTATGTAGTGATATGCGAATTTTACACATGTTTAAATTCACTGTACGTTTGGTATAGTTTTATTATTCATTGAATTTAATGCAGCAGAGACTGTAGGTTGGACTGTAGATACTATCGCTGATATTGGTATTGTGACATTTTTAGATGGCACATGGAAGAAATATAACATAAATCCTGCTGCGAGTAGCAGGTGCATTCCAAGAATAACTGTAATGTAGATTAGTTTATGCTTTCCTAAAAGATCAAAAGCAAGATATTAGATAAGTTGCTTTGGTAGTGATAATTAAATGTTTTCTTCACCTGCAATTACTGGTGACAGAGACCTCAATAGGACTCCTCCAGATAATAGGGCTGCAATACCAACTAAGGACCACCGCAACCACTCAATTTGTACCGTCCATAGAAATGCAACTGGTATGTAAATTGCCAATGAGTATCCATAAAGGCAAAGTAGTTCGAGTAGTCCAGGAACTTTGTTATCCTGCTCATAAAAATATTGTATTGGATATGTTCAATGCAATAATTGAATTCACTGATATTATTGATAGAATATTGTACCTCTATAAGCTCCTCTTCCATATTTGGTGGGCTACTAGTCCATTTGAGCACAGCCCATAGTGCAAGTGGTAAGATCCAAGCATAAAGAAAAATAGCTGTCGCTGCATACGACACTAGATGAAATTCGTATCTCCAATGATAATTCCTAGAATTGGCTGTTTGCAAATAATTAGCCATGTTTCCACTGATGGCTATGGAAAACACCAAAGTGACACATATCCAGAATGGTCCATAAAGATCTGGCTTAGGTCGAATGTGCGTTTTCCAATAATTGTCAACACCATGAGGAATCATAGACCACTTTATACGTTCCACAACATCATTTGTGTTCACATCAAAGAATTTTTGATAATACTCGATGGTCCAAAAATTTCTTGCTGGAGGAGCTATATAACATAAGTAAAATATTTATAATTACAATTTAATTGTACACAAATACAATTTAATCTACAAAAAAAGAACCTTCTGTCTTGTCAGGCATCCCATGGAGGTCTTCGATGATACCAACCCCAACTGAATCATTATTTATATTGCCAAAATTTCGATGATCCGAAGCTCCCAGATCTAACTGAGCCTGTCCTCCAGAGCCGGGATGATTTATGGGTGAAAAATCTTGAAATGATATAAACTGGGAATCTCCAGAGGTTCCTCTATCACCCTCCATGATTCTGATTTTATATTTTTGACAATTGCCAGCTGGTCAACAGTAGTACTAGCCATAGACTACTTACTGGGTACTATCATTAGAAAAGAATGCTCAACGCTACGGCCAGAGATGAGTGGGGAGATGTACAACGCTCCGGTTTAAGGCGATACCAAAAGCATGGCGCTAAATCGTAGCGGCGAGTCCGGGAGTAAGATTTCGTGATCATCGCCTCTGTCGATGTTACAGATTTCGCGTAGCCGCGCGGGTCATGATCATCGTTCCAGCCGGTATTGCAGTCAGCGAAAATGAATAGATTGCTCGGTGGTGAGGAAAAAGTTGCCGCCCCTCGCAAACCGTTCTTGACAAACAGGCGGGGCAGCAAGGTCTTCAGTCCAACCGAACCCTAAACATTTGTATGGACGTAATGCGCAAACAAATGTGTATATTCAAATAAATTTCAAAGTTATAAAAAATG